CTATAGCAAATATACTCAGCCGATACTGTGGAAAATAATTATCATAAGTATGAACTATGTTATAATGCATCATTGTTTTCTAAATTTCCTAATAAAATCAATAATGTTTTTCATAATAATTTATCTTATGTGCATGCATATATTCTTCTTAACTATGTTAAAAATTTAATTTGCAGATGAGGAATGTGAGGCTCTTTAGTGAGGACCGTGATCGATCACGGAGTATCACCCCCGGCACAGATCATATTGAGAAGACACAATCATCTCCTTATGCAGGTATAAACTATTTAATATTTTAATATTTTTTATAAATTATTAGTTATTTAGCTCATATTGTTCATTTGTTGCAGACGTGGGTTATTCAATACCCGGCCCTTTTGGTGCATCACCAGAACCATCCCCTGGAACAGGTACTTAGTATTTAATATTTCTTAATGATCAATTTAAATTTTATATTAATTATCCTTTTTTATTGTGTAGATGATTCGTGGACGCCATCATTTCATTCCTCTACATTTCCGACCGACTTGCGTTCGAAGACACATGAGTTTCGCAGTTTACATTTCCCTCCGGACTCGATTAAGTCCAGAGCTGAATCAATGAAGCACTACCCACGTGCTCGAACAACGCTTATGTTGTAGGCTAGAAAAGTCGTTGCATTCACAACCAAAAAAAGAGAAAGCGAATGGTAAATTTAATAAATACTTCTAATTTTCACATTTATAGATTACATGATATATTATCATATTGTTATTATTGTAGGTGCTAAGTCGAATCGCATAGAGGGACGACGTGACGGGAGCAAGCCTGAGTCCAAACAACCGCCAAGAGGCATGATGGCCATTATTCAGTGGAGTAATGAATGCATTGCCCGTTGGTGCTTGATCGTCAAGATTCAATAATTATGTCTGGGTTCTCGTACGTAGAACAAACATCATTAATCCTGATTTCAATTTTTGAGAACTACCGTGGACCGCCTACGAGCAGATATAGAATGAGCTTATGGTAACTTTATATTACTTTTGCTATTCATTTATTATTTATTAGTAATATATATTAAATTATAAATTATCCTAATGAAATACATATGCAAATTTATAGGAAAGTTTCTGCCTTGAGGACTTTGATGGGGCTTGACAGTATGTTTTTAATGTCAAGATTGAAGTTGTTCTCAAACAATTGAGGCATCAGATTAAACAAGAAACCTATGATGGGTATTCAGAGGACTGGCAGAGGTTTTTGAACCTCGATGATAGGGTTGACGAGCTTCATTTCACAGCTCTCCTCGTGTATTGGGACACCGTTACTGCACAAGTTAGTTTTATAAAAACTATACTATTTACATAATATATTCATTCATTGTATATTTACTGAAATAATTTTTTTTTAAAAAATTAAATCAACGAAGGGATCAATAAATAGAAGGAAAAAGATGCATGACTATCACTTAGGCGCACACTCTTATGCCAACCTGGAGGATAGTTATTGTTGAGATACGATATATATTATTTAAATATTTAAATAATCTTAATGCTTAGTATGACTACGAAGTCTCATAAATTTATAATCTGATAGGGAAAATAAATAATGCCGATAAACTTAAAGGCAAAATTAGCATATGGTATATTCCATGATCGTTAAGGGATAACGAGAAGAATCAAGATAAAATCAAGGTAAATCTCGAGTTGGTGGTGAGACTTATTTATAATTTATTTAGGAATATTAATTGTATTTCTTTCTTAATTTTATTTAAAATTTTTTAGATCTATTCCCAATGATGTAGTTTTTGTAAACTTATATTTGTGCTTTAGGAGATTTTGAAGCTGTAACCAAGGAGGCTGCAACACTACATATATATCTCAGGAGGAAGTACAAGGCGAGCCGGACCTTCACATGCTATCTCCAGAGGATAACATCACTCTCACTCAGAACGTATTGGGATATAATAGGTGGGGATGGTAAACAATCAAATTGAATCGAATACTACGTTCCTATTTATATTTGTTTAAAATTATTGAATTCGAATGCAAAATCTAATATTCATTTTCACCCTAATAATAGGAGAGGAAGATATCCGCTGCATGGTGTTAGAGCTTCACCGGACATAACCATAAGATTATTCAAAGCATCCTCCATGTCATATACAGCAACGAGAGTAGCACCAGACAATTTGCAGGCTATGCCACTTGTTTTACGTGTCTCCATGTATTTGCGTGGAAAGATGGTGCACGTTCAGGTGACTAAGGAGATGAGTAGTGTTGTGTTGAGGGCCCCACACGATGGACGAGGTCATGTCGTACATTATAAATTATTTGGCCGGTGTGATTCCCGCTGATCTATTTGGTGATATCATATCGCTTATAAACTCGGGCGTCGGTAATACCGACTTTGGGCAGAGCAGCGTATATGCATCTTATTTTTCCTCACATACTAAGGAAGTCCCAAAAAAATTAATAGTTACAAATTATTTTTATAAAAGTGAAAATCCTAAAAAACTAATGCTAAATTGAATATTTAAGGGACCAATATATTAAAAAAATCATTTATGTTTAATATATTATCAAACTTCACATGATTCTAAAATATAACCAATTTGACCTTCAGACTGGAGACATTGGAGGGAGCAACACCGGTTTTCGTACGAGGGATAGAGCCCCTACCGACGACGACGAGATATGAGATTTTTTTAATAAATATGCACTGAACAGTTTTTTATTTGTTATAGTACTCTATTTTTATTCATCTCATGTACTCTATGTTATTCATCTCGTGTTATGGGTGGACTTGGTATTGCTAGTGTATCTGTTGTAAATATTCGGATAATATAAGTATTTACTGAAATGGATATTGTCTTAGATTGTTGGATGTGTATATTAGACCGGATTGTTGGATGTGTATTTTGGATTGGATTGTTAGATGTGTGTATTGGATATGAATATTGATTATATTTGATTGGATATGTTTATTAAATATACATGAATTATGTATTCATGTGTATATCGTGAATGTAATGTAATGTACAGGGAATTGGCATTTTAAAAAGATTTTTTTTGCAGAAAAAAGAACAACCTAGATAGAATTTCCATCTAGGTTTAATCAACCTAGCTGGAAATTCCGTCTAGGTTGCTATAAACAACCTAGACGGATTTTTCGTCTAGGTTGCATTCCGTCTAGTTTGATCAACTTAGAAAGATTTCTATCTAGTTTGCGTCAAACTAGACGAAATTGTCCTAGACGGACTTTTCTAGACAGATTTCCGGACTTTTTTAGATGGATTTCTGTTTAGGTTGATCAACCTAGACGGAAATCTAAGCAACCTAGACGGTTTTTTCCATCTAGGTTGCGAGTTTTTCTACTAGTATATACACCAGAGTTGTATAAAATATTTGGAAATTATATCATAAGTCTCCACAAATTTTAGTCTAAACATATTACGCAACGTTATCAAGGGTTTTGCATGAACAAAGTGAATGTGTAATACCCAGGTACAAACAAGTTCAAGAAATCCTATATCGAACTTAAACGTAGAGGGAGCTACAACTGCACAGAACAAGCTTAAATGTACTCTTTCAATTCTAGATAGCATATAACCCTCAACTGCGCACAACTTTTCCTCTAAACGAACTGACAACCTACTTCACATTTGTAATTCCTAAATAAGGTAGATCCAGAATTTTGTTCAAACTAGTATAATGCACGTGCTTTGCACGTGGATGTGTTGTTGTATTAAATATTATATTATTTAATAAATTATATATAAACATTTTACAAAGTTGTTTAATCGCACTATGATTAAAAAAATTTAAGTTATACTATAATTAATACTTATACCATTATTAACATACATTTAATAGTTATTTAAATTAGCTTATAATTATATTATTAAACAATTTATTTAGGAGTATAATTATTAAATAATAATGTAGTCATTAGTTTAAGTAACACTATTGATATAATTAAACCATTTATATTATTAAATATTTATGTTATGGACATATTTTATTATAATATTTATTAAATAATGGCAGTAGTTTTTAATATTATATGACTTTATGTTGTAAAGAATATTACCTTGCTCGGTAATTAATATCATCTTAGTAATAAAAAATTAGATGGCTTAAATTAAAAATACTATTATTTAACAAAAGTACTTTATATAAAAATATTGGATCCTTGAAATTTATGAGACATTTACTTTCCAACAAAAAGTGAATGACTCATAGATTTCAAAAATCCAATATATTTATATAAAGTAACTTTTCTAAATAAAAGTATTTTTAATTCATAATTTCTAATTTTTATTACTAAGATGATATTATAATATCAAAAAGGGTGATATTCCTTACAGTATAAAGAATCAACCCCTATTTATGCTATTATTAATAATACAATTATGTATAATATTTTATTAAATAAATAATTTTACTATTTCATTACAATTAATAATTCTTTTATAATTAATTAAAATATATTTATTAACTTTGTTATCATTATAAATTATTAATATGTTCTAGCAAGTGACCAAATATTTTGTTATCATTATAAATTATTAATATATTCTAGTGAATGACCAAATAATTTGAGAAAATGAAGAGCTGCATGGTTAATGAGAGGTTATGCATCATTATTTTTATAAATAATGGTATAATTGTGAGAGATAAAAAATTGAGAGAGTAAAAAGGGAAATTAAAAGTTTTGACATGGGTATTCTCTTTTATAAGTGGTATAGATCATGCGTGAAGTTGTTCTTATTGCTCTGTACAATATTTTCTTGGGTAGGCGGCTATGTACGATATTTGTTTGCGATGAATTGTGACCTTCCTTCGTGTAGGATATTTACCTACAATGGATTGTCAATAATTTGCCCATGTAAATAACGAATAAGTTTTAGGATCCAAATTACCACGAGGGGATAAATACGAGCTCCAATTGAAAAAAATTATAAACCCTAGAGAAGAAGATACCTACTTCAATTAGCAAATTAGCTGTAAGGATCAAACCTGCTGAAAGTTTTTGACAGTCTTCCCAATGTTCCGCCCGATCTCGGGCAGCTGCTTCGGGCCGAAGACGAGGGCGGCGACGCCGGCGATGACGACGAGCTCCGGCACGCCGAGCCCGAAAAGGCACCGGCAACCGAGGCCTCGCCTTGATGTGGAGCCAGCTCTCTGTACGGACGCCGAGATGGGATTTTTCTTTCTCGAGAGAGCAGCGGAGGCGTTGGAGAAGAAGAGGGAGTTTGAGGAGGAGAGAGAGGAGGACTTTGTCGGGAGAAGGGAAGAAGACGTTAGCGACGTACAAGAACAAGATAACTCCATCAATTTCTTCCCTCTCTCGCTCTCTCTCTCTCTCTCTTCCCAGATTGTCCTGCAGCTAAATATTTCCAATAGTATTATAGGTAACAGGCCGGCCCGCTCATAACGTGTTGGGCTTTATAATGGAAAAGTGAAAGCTAGGAATATTACCGAACATTGTATCGATGCCCAACCTTTACACTATAGGGCCTGTTTGGTCCGTTTCCCACAATTGTCGGAATTCCATTCCATGACGAAAAACTCTTTTTCAGTGTTCTCTACAGAACTGGTTCTTAATGTTTGGTTCACACATAAAGAAAGCAAGGGTTGAAATTAATTTCTGCATTTTTTCATTGTTTTTATGAGTGTTTAAATATGGGAAATCAATTGTTTGTGCATTAAGGGGATATTTTTTCTTTTAATTTGAAAACAAGTTAAGGGGAATTTTTTTAATCTAATATATAGGGTTTCCACCCTATTCCCTATTGTTTTGGAAGGAAATGAGGGAAACCAATTATACTGGTGTGGTGATGGTTTCCGGTCCTCATTTTCTTAAGAGCCTATGCGAAACAAACCTGATAAATAAAAACTAAAGAATCATTTTATCCTAGTTGAGCGCAATGACAGAACATGAGAAATGATTTCCATGGAGTTTTTAAGCGAACCAAATAGCCCCCATGCTTGGAAGTTTCCTAATGAGGAGAAGGGAAAAAAATAAGGGATGAGAAAATAGGAGAGAGAAAGGGAAAAAAGAGAAGGGTCTATTTGAATTTGCCTGTAGTGAAGGGAAGTTAAGTGAATATATTGGATAAGTTAAGTGAAATTAAGATAATATACAAAACATGTGAAATTAAGATAATATACAAAACACCGTTTAGAAAGTTTAATAAAGTGACGAGAAGGTAAGAAAAAAATATGTAAATTTACATAAATAATATTACACATTATTTCACTCATTTTAGATCTCATCTTGATAGAATGGTAAATTGTATTTTATGATATGACATTTTTCCAAAGGGTTCCATTCCCCTCCATTACACCCCAATTTATGGAGAACAAATTTTCAAGTTTCCACCCTCTATTTCACAAAATTTCCCTCTCATTATCTACCTCAAATCAATTCCCAAATAAGATTTATGTGTCCCCTACCTTCCCTTACCTCTCATTACCCCGAATCCAAATAGCACTGAAGAAAATTTTGATGACAGGGAGTGAAGAAAGAGAAATAAAAATATGATACGATGTTTGAGAGTTTACTAAAACAAATGGAGGGAGATTATTGGTTAGCTTTTGGATTAGAATCATAATGATTCATAAATTTTCACCTCCTCTGCACCACAACGAGGGGAAATTAGATCTTAGGCCCCATTTGGTACGCGGGAATGAGGTGGAATGGAATGTTATTCTCACTTCTCATTCCCTCGTACCAAACAAAACTTGTTTTTAGATGTTGGAATGATCATTCCCATGGAATGGCCATTCCCACTTTTTGTGGGAATGAGCATTCCAAGTGAGAAGATAGGGAATGATCATTCCCATTCAAGGCCACTTTTTGTGGGAATGAGCATTCCAAGTGAGAAGATAGGGAATGATCATTCCCATTCAAGGGGAGAATCAAATTAGTTGTGAGAAGATAGGGAATGATCATTCCCATTCAAGGGGAGAATCAAATTAGTTAGGTTTTTTTTCAATTATCCCCCTATTAATAATAAGAATCAATTTAAAAATCATGGCTTTTGACTATGTATTCTTATTTTCTCTCAGCTACTAACTAGTTTGTGGTTCGTGCAAAGCACAGTATTTTTTGCTACAGTAATCCCGCTTTTTTAATATAGCATGATTTGAATTTTTGAAAGTGCTACAGTATCCCGCTTTGCTACAGCATCTTTTAAATGCTACAGTATGCCCGTGTGCTACAGTAATATTTTTAATTAGTTATTAGCTACAGTAATAATACTACAGTAAATGCCACTGTAGCATTTACTGTAGCATGAACAGTGAATCTCTGATCCTCCTATTTGTATAAAGGAATAGATTATATTCGAACAATAGGAATTTTTTGCGAGGTAGGGATTAAAACTAGTGGTACATATTTCAGTAGCATATTAAAACTAGCGGTACATATTTCAATGATTTCATTAGCCTATTATATCACAATTGCTCAACATAGGAGCAACACAATTTAATATAAAAACAGATACAACCGAAACTATATATTATTTGCCGATTGAAATTCTTTCATGTCAATATTTTTTTTGGTCAATCAATTTTTTTTGTTTATTCACCAATGTTTAAATTCTTTCATGTCAATATTTTTTTTGGTCAATCAATTTTTTTTGTTTATTCACCAATGTTTAAAGTTTGTTATTTTCACCAGCATATTATATATTTTTTATACTTTTACTATTGTTTTCCCACCATAGAGAACTATATGTACCCATTGCGTAATGTTTGATTGTGGTTCATGCACAACAATAAATCTAACTTTTGATTGAAAAATATTTGACCTAATATTTATGAAAAGAGGAAACTCTCGCTGAGAAATTGGCTAAAATATTAAAATTATCAAAACCATATCATGTCTAGACTATATATAGAGGTATAAGGGCATTATTATAACACATATCTAGATTAATATAACATATGCAGAAATAGTAAGAATTGTTTAAAAAATATAAACGAAACATACACCTGATCGATAACATGTGCATTAGTATAACACATACCTAGATTAATATAACATATGTATAAATAATTTTTTTTAGTTATTATCATTAATGTTTATTTTTATCTTATTAAAAATCTATGTTGTTATAAGGGAATTATTAGAAAATGAGATTCCATTCTCACTTGTGAACTAGTGATACCAAACATGGGAATGAAAATTAGATTTTCATTCTAGCTTCATTCTACAAACGCACCCAACAAGAGAATGGGAATGATCATTCCATTCTCACATACATTCCATTCTATTCTTTCTTCCATTCCATTCTCACTTGACTTCATTCTCACGTACCAAACGAGGCGTTATATGTTTGTGGTTAATGGAGGTGAATTTATGCACCTCCATTACCTTGGAAATTTTCAAAACCACTCCTTTTGAGATTTTATTCCCAAAAAACGACCCATTTCCCTCTTATTTGTAAAAACCAACCTGGTTTCAGCCTCAGGGCTGAAACCAGGTCGGTTTTTACAAAAAAAGTTCCGAAACTTCACGGGAGTTGAACTCCCGTGAAGTTTAGCAATTATTTAATTAAGCTGCTAAACTTCACGGGAGTTCAACTCCCGTGAAGTTCCACAGCTCAACTTTTTTTTTAACTAAGAAACTTCACGGGAGTTCAACTCCCGTGAAGTTTAACAGCTATTTAATTAAGCTGCTAAACTTCACGGGAGTTGAACTCCTGTGAAGTTTCGAAACTTTTTTTGTAAAAAACCGACTTGGTTTCAGCGCTGAGGCTGAAACCAGGTCGGTTTTTACAAATAAAGAGGAAATGGGTCTTTTTTTGGGAATAAAATCGCAAATGGGGTGGTTTTGAAAATTTGTCCCCATTACCTTTTATTTCTTGGACAAATTTTCAAAACCAACCCCTTTAGAGATTTAATTGCAAAAAACGATCTATTTTGCACTTATTTGCAGAAACCGACCTGGTTTCAGCCCTGACGCTGAAACCAGGTCAGTTTCTGTAAAAAAATTTACGAGACTTCACGGGAGTTCAACTCCCGTGAAGTTTACCATATTTAATTTTAAACTTCACGGGAGTTGAACTCCCGTGAAGATTAAATTCTTCAAAACTCCACGGGAGTTCAACTCCCGTGGAGTTAGATGCTAATTTTCCCTAATTCTTCAAGGTCTTTAATGGGGGTATCCCTCAATCCCAATCTTCATCCCCTCACGCCACAACCTTCATCCCCTCCTCCTCCGCCTCAGCAGCCTCCAGAATCAAACTCCCACACTTGGCACACACAAACAACTACGGTACCAGCTTGCCGTCCTCGATCTCGATGCACCTCGTGTGATGCCAGACATCGCAAGCATCGCACGCCACCATCCTCTCCCCGTCCACATCCACCGCACGACAACTGCACCCACAACAGCCAACGCCCCGCCTCCACCCGCCGTCTTCGTGCACTCAGCTCGCACCCCGTGCCACCCCCTCTGACGCACACCAGGCCAGACCAACCTTAGCACCCCGACTCACCGTGCCCGCCAGTATAACAGGCCCCACCACTACACCCTTCCACAGCCTGCATCAGCCGCTCGAGATGAATACCGGAGCGTCGGCCTCGTTCCGCAACTCGAAGGTTTTTACCCACTGCCGGGCGTCGAGCACTGCCTCGGCCTCGTCCGGCCTGATCGCCGCTACGCATTTGTACACCGCTTGCAGATCCCGAAGAGGAGAAGGCTGGAATAGGGCTGAGGCGATGGCAGGCCCCCAGGCAGGGAGCTTGTCGAGGCTGAACTTGAGCACGCGGTTGGAGGGGTTGGATCCTCGACGGACGATGTAGCGGTCGACAACCACGTTGCCTATGGACTTGAGCATGAAGTCGATGATTAAATCTTCACGGGAGTTCAACTCCCGTGAAGATTTTTGAAGAATTTAATCTTCACGGGAGTTCAACTCCCATGAAGTTTAAAAATATGGTAAACTTCACGGGAGTTGAACTCCCGTGAAGTCTCGTAATTTTTTTTTCAGAAACCGACCTGGTTTCAGCGTCAGGGCTGAAACCAGGTCGGTTTCTGCAAATAAGTGCAAAATAGGTCGTTTTTTGCAATTAAATCTCTAAAGGGGTTGGTTTTGAAAATTTGTCATTCATTTCTTTTAAAAAGGACTCTCAAATGAGACGAATCAGTATTGCTCCACTTACCGTCCCCTCCCCTCCATTCACCTCCATCCAAACAAGGTGTTAACCACCATAAATGTTCTTTATATGAAGCTCACAAGATTACCTTATTTTTTCCTTATTATATTATAATAGTAATGATTTTAGGGGGAGAAAAACATCTGAATGAAAAATGATATTTTAAATCGATAGGTGAAAACTCGTTTTATTTTCCTTTTAAGTAAATAGGTAGCTGACATACCCTTCTCCATTATTGATTAAAGTATAACAAAACAATCCAAAAGAGAACAATAACGACACGAAAATGCAATTGTCCCTTTCTCAAGCAAAATATACAAAACCAAATATTTGCTTACGTGTATGGATAAAAGAACTATAAGTTCGAACTTTTGGGTTGGACGTAAGTCTAGGTTTAAATTAAAATGATGATGGTGAACCAACTGCAATTTAACTTAAATTTAAATCAAAATATCTTTGCGAACAAGATCCGATTGGCTGGGTTCGGACCGCGCCCAACCAAATTGACAGTATTACAAATTTACACGCAATCAAATCCATTTTTACTAAAAAACCCTCTTTCTTTTTCTACTTCCATAATTGGACCAGTACATTGTATGCTCGAGAGCCCCGGGCTGAAAAAAACCCTCTCAAAGCCCCATCTCACTACGATGGCCGTCGCTCCGAGTCCGAACCCTTCTTCCCTCTTCCTCTCATCTCGAAACCCTAATTCCCGCTCTTTCAATTTAGCCCCTCACAAGCTCGTTTCTCGACCCAGATCTCTCACTGCGATGGCCACCCTCAGCGTCGCTCCCACTGTTGGGCTCTCCAAGACCTTCGAGCGTTTGAAGGAGCAAGGCAAAGTAAGCTCATCGCTCTCCCATTTCTAATGATAGAGATCTTTGTTGGATTTGACGCAATTTAGGTTTCTTGTACTTTGAGGGGGGCTAAAGTTGGAATCTTGCTCCCTTGGTGTTTCTTTTAGAACTAGATTTTGTTGGAATTATATGAATCCATTCAACATATGTATGCAGGCTCGTGCATTGCATGTTTGCGTCTATGCTTGCTAGGAACTATGTACCTGTTCATGTCTATTTGTTGAAGATGTGCATTCTTTATGAATTTGATAAATATTTGCTTATTTTTATGTTAGCATATTCTGTAATTTTGCGTTGGTTTCACTTATTGGCGTGAGAACTCTATTTTGATAAATTCAAACTGGGTGTGGTAATCTCTATTTATACCCAACTGTTATCTTCATTTAATAATTAAGCAGGGTGACTTACTTTATTGAAGAGTAAACGGGGTAGATATTAGATGCAATAATTTACTGATATGAGGACTAACTCGATATGCACTTTTACAGTTGATCCACATATGTTCTACTAGATGTAATATGCCATAGGTTTTCATTACCTGCAGTATGCACCAGCAAATGTGTCCGCTGGAAATAAATTTTGGTCTGAAGTGGTGGATATCATATGCAATGAAATGCATTTATTTTAGTCTAATAGAATCTGATTTATTTTTCCTGTCATATTTATCTTCTAATTCCTTTTTGTGTTCTTCACAGTATTTTGTTTGGATATAAATTATTGATTTCCTGAGGTAATATGCATGCACGTTTAAGGTGCTTCTAATCTTCTTGTTTTTTAGGTTGCCTTCATTCCATACATTACTGCCGGTGATCCTGACTTGTCAACTACCTCAAAGGCATTAAAAGTTCTTGATTCTTGTGGTTCAGACATTATAGAATTGGGCATGCCGTACTCTGATCCTTTGGCAGATGGACCAGTCATCCAGGTTTCACTACAATGTTTTTTCCTCAAATTAAATCAAATGGCTAATTTCATCTGTTGTTGACTATATTTATTTTTATGTACGATGTGTAGGCTGCTGCAACACGTGCCTTAGCAAAGGGAACCAACTTTGATGCTATCATTACCATGTTAAAGGAGGTATGACATCAACCGAAGCAAATTTGTAGGACGCTCCTGGAGTTGACTATTGAATATAATCTTGTAGTATGTCAATTAGATTATTCTTATTATAGTATTTATGCACCTATCAATGATACACTCATGCAATCATGCTGTGCTGAAGCTATTTTTTAATTAATGTCCCGTTATATTATATTTAAGACAATGAAATCAGCTAGCTACACAGTTAAATCAGGCGTGTGTTGTATGGAAACTGAGCATCACTCTGATACAACATGTGGGGAAAATGCCTGCTCTCACGAGTATTGTGGTGCTTTCTTAAGGAAAAAAATCTCCAGTTTATGAGCACCTCTAGTGTGATTTTTAGAAACTCATTGACCTGCCAATTTCCTGGTGTTTTGGACTGAGGCTATAGTTTTTCCTCTGTAGGAATGGTGACGTAGCATACACAGAAATATATTTGAGTTATATTTCTGGGTTTCTAGAGCATGAGGCATTTGAACTACAACCATTCAGGGATATGCTACAGTATTGTCATACCTAGGAAATTAAGTAATACTACAACTTACTTTCTTTATCATCATGTAGAAGGCTACTGACAAACATGACATTCATTTTTATCTTTTGGTTATATAAACACAATTGCTTTGCATATCTATGTCCATGTTGATTGATTTCCTTTTCTATTCTTTTTTTTATAGATCTAACAAATTCTAAAGTTTTTTCTACACTGACTTAGCAGGCAATTCCTCAAATATCCTGTCCAATTGCTTTGTTTACATATTATAACCCAATTTTGAAGCGTGGAGTTGAGAAGTTTATGTCTACTATTGAAGATGTTGGTGTGCATGGTAATTGACATACCTATTTCATAGTATAAATACAGTGATGCAATTGGCATTGTTAATGACACTGTATGCAATCAACTTTTATGCAGGGGTGAATATGCTTGTCCACTTATTTTTGAATTTTCTATAATGTTCCTATATCGTTTTCTAATGTGCTGATTTTTCTGTCACCAGATGCATGTTTTATGTTTCAGTATATTGTTTCTTCTACTCGTCTTATGTCAGTAATGCAAAGGTGTAACACTGTTTCCTTTAAATGTTCTGATAATTGTTCACGGGCTGCATCCTCTCCAGCCCATCAGAAGTTCTGCCACATCATAACCATTTTTCCTATATGTACGTGTGTGTATATGTATAAATACATAGTTCATATGTTTTATGTTTGCCTATCTCCCATGATCATCATTTTAGAACTCTTCCCTCTCCATCTGGGCTGTGGCTAGGCGCCCGCTTAATTAATTGGCTTTTAGTCGCTGCGTCTGGCACCTCAAAGTGCCTAGTCCTTAGCAAATCAGACATAAAATTGGGAAACCCATTAGATCATGATTTTAAATATCGGCCGATAATTCGATATTATCGCCGAGTTATCGGATTTGAGAGCTTTCCGCTAGGATAAGTATGATTTTTAATCGGTTATCGTTTTTATGGGTTTATCGGCGATAAAGGCACTTATCGGCCGATAAGGGAGGCTGAAAATATCGGCTTTATTGGCGTGAGTTTTGAGTTGAATTGTTGGGTAATGGGCTGTTACTTAGTGAGTTCTTAAACCCGACCCGACCTGACCCGTCTTTGACAATAAAATGAAGTTTCTAACTTCAAGTTTAGCCCTAATCCTTCGTGAATCTCTCTCCCTCTCTGTACGGTTGTTCTCCGAGCCTCCGAGCCTCTTCGAACTCCATCGAGCTCAAGATCTCTTTTCCCCTCTAACTTTGTTGACCTCGTTGCTCGCCTCCCCGACCTCGAAGCTCATGTCCGCTGACATCGCTCGCCTCCCCGACCTCAAAGCTCACCTCTGCCGACATTGCTCTCCTCCCCGACCTCAAAGCTCACCTCCGCTGAAGTCGCTCGCCTCCCTGACCTCGCAACTCAACTCCACCGACGTCGATTGCCTCTTCGACATTGCAGCTCAACTCCGTTGACGTCGATTGCCTCCTTGACCTTGGAGCTCACCTCCGTTGACGTCGCTCACCTCCTCGACCTCGAAGCTCACCTCCGAGCCTCTTTTAAACATGATTATTTACATTTTGGTATGTTTATATTTCATTAAGCATAGTTAGATTATATTTTTTGGTTATTATATTATATATATACACCATCCAATACATCACACCGATAAATATTACTTATCCCCGATATATCCCCGATGTTCGCTATCTGATAAGGATTTTGACCATCCGATAAATCCCCGATAACCGATATTTAAAACCTTGGTCCATTGTCAATATGTGTTCTTAAAGCTTCAATGAGATATTTTACCTAGTGAATGAAAGACTGCATACAAGAACTCTTCTTCTTGGGTCATGTTTTACCTCTGAAATTGGAAAATTTTAAAATTAGAAGCAGTTACTATATGTGTAGGTGAGGAAAAAAATGGAGAAAAAAAAGATATTAAAAGCATAATGTATTATGTTCTGTAATTTTCAATCTTAAGAAAAAGCTCAGAAGATATAAAATGTGATATTGAGTTTCCGAGTAAGCTAAATATCGGTACATACCTGATGATGTCTTCTTCTTTTAAAAGTTCTAATTGCAAAATATTTCTTCAGGCCTTTTAATTTGTATACTGGAATGTGATATTGATGTACAATCTCAGCAATGTGCTAGTTACTACCTCTTAAGCCATTTCCTTATTGGTATTGGCTAATGATAGGTAAAATTTTGCAGGACTTGTGGTGCCTGATGTTCCTCTAGAGGAGACTGAGATTTTAAGAAATGAAGCTGCTAAACACAATATTGAACTAGTAAGTTTCTTTATCTTCCAGTTACCTCCTATTATATCTGGAAAGGCTACTACCATGTTTTAAGAATATAAAATTAGGAACATTATTGTGCATGTATTTTAATTCTGAATTATCATTTATTTATGTGATGTGTGGCCTATTAAGGACCAGCTTATGATTAATTTATCTAATACTTAAGTGGAAGATGATTGTCTGCCTTGTTAGTAGCGTTGGTTGCTATTCTCATTATGGTTGCCTAGAGCAAATAATTTTACTTTCTTTGACCTAGACATTGAAAGCAGAAAAAGGAAAAACAGTCACATTCGAAACTTTCTTTTAGTTCATGTTGGTGACATCTACGTAGTTAATAATAGTTTTAATTTTGATATTTTAATGGAATCCCAAACTTAAGTCATTCTCTCAGCAATACCCTGCTCTGAGTGCTCTCTAAGATGTATATATCCAGTCATGGTTGGTTTGTATCTAAGTCCTACTTTTTTTTTGCCTGGCATCTCTTGACCATAACTTGTGTGTTGACACATAGCTATTCACGTGCACTTCCAAAATTGAAATAGAGCATAGAAAATGTGTAATAGTGATGAATATGCGATCTATTTCACCTTGTACATGCTATCATTATAGGTTTTGATCATTTTATTGCTTTCACAGTGCGTCAATTTTTATCTTCTTCCCTATTCATATATTGTGTGTGGAAAAAGGATTTTGAAATGTCTTGCAAGCATGTGAGAGCTAAAGTGGAAGCAGGCCAGCTAAAATTTACCTTTGTGTGTCACTTCAGTGTACTGATGCTTTAAACAATAACTTTCATTACTTTTTTATTCATGCATTCCATGCTGGATTTCCAGCTACCCATTCTGGAAATTCATCCTACTCCATCTTCTATTTTTGAACTGGATTTTGAATGCCTCCTTTCACTAATTCTCTCATAGGTTTAGCTATACTGCTGTCAATTTTGAAATACAATATCCTTTCCTTTGAGATATATTATATATTATTTTTGTGACGATGATGTTGTATCTATGTGGATCACAAATATATTCTTCTTTCCCCCATGTAACCAGTTCGACTACTCACACATAGAGAGGGACCTCTTCTTCTATAATTCTTCTACTTCTATGATACTGGACTGGAAGCAAAGCAGCAGGACAATGTTTAAACTCTAGCGGGTTTTAGAAAGTTTTATCAAAGAAGTGTGTGAAGGTTTTTTTGAAAACAAAAAGCTAGAAGGCTATAAAAAGATAAATAAGATGAAATGAGAAATTGAGAATTTGCATACTAAGAAAATATAAATAACTGATACTGAAAACCTTATGATAATAGGCACATAAATACAGGAAAATAAATAAAATAAGATGACAAATACAATGTGTAAACCTTCTAAATCTTGAAGCAAAGGCTAAAGCATCCTAGAGATGGTATGACAAGGCGCGGGCTCAGTTTAGCAGGCTTTTTATAAAATGGTGAGAAGGATGTTGTATCTTTGTGGATAAAAGTACACTCTTTTCTGATAGGGAATCCTATCAGAACACCCCACCACATGGGGTGTTCTGATAGCTCAAGGAGGGCAGTGAAATACCGTCACTGCCCCCCCCAATCGCGTGGCTCAAAACGCCCCGCACTGTGCGGGGCATTCTGAGAGAATGCATACTCTTCTTTTCTCCCTATCCACTGACATGAATGTTTGCATGTGAAGAGAAAAAGAAAGGGGGAAAAACAGAGGGAGGGATATACAATGCTGTTTCTATTTCCTGCTTACATCACCTTTAATTCGTCTCTGCTATTTAGAAATTGTCACTACACTAGCAGATTATTCAAATGCCTGATATGGCTGCTAACATCATCTTTTTGGAAGTGACCTCTCTGCTAGAACCTGAATCCATGTCTATTGGTTCCATCATACCTTATTGTTGAGATCAAGTGTTATGTTGATAAGCGAGCTTCCAACATCTTGTCAGGAACTTAAAATCTAATATCGCTAATCATTTTGTTGGGTATGTTTTCTCTGTTGGATTCTAACTTCTACAATGGACCGATTCTTGTGATATGGTTTGTATACAATTCATCTTGCGCGCCAAAAAACACGGAAAACAATGTTATTTAACACCTATCATGGACTCAGGTGTATACTTAGTCCAAATGATTTATATGCTATCAACTATCTGCACCAATAAAATCAGAGATTTGTATTTTAAAGGGTTTCAAATTTAATATTCTCATAGTCGCTGATGATTGTTTATCTAATGCAATATTTTCTTGTTTTTCCTTTTCTTTGAAGGTTCTTCTTACGACTCCCACCACTCCGACAGAAAGAATGAAAGACATTGTAAAAGCTTCAGAAGGATTTCTATACCTAGTAAGTATGGGTGGGAACGAACCAAATATGTAACAAATAGTTTGGTATTTATTCGCCTAAGTATTCAGTCATATTAGATTCGATAGTTCATTTAATAATAAATGAATAGTTTTCTATTATTCAGTTAAACAAATAGAATTTAACCATAGGTAAATTTGATTCGTTTGTTTAATAAACTATTCGTTTATACAGTTTAATCCTTAAAATTTCAGTTTCATGCTAGCAAATGTGGATAAATAGTTTTTTATTTGTGAATATTATATATCATTAGGTTTGCATATACATCAGGTATATCATGTTTTGCTCTATTGGAAGACTAGGATAACGAATATTTGCCTAATATTTACCGAATAATTCGCAAAGACTACCCAAACACTCTTAATGAATATTCGAGAATAGTTATTGAATATTCAAATACCATCCAAATCGAATTCGAATGCTGGTTTCCTATTAGTTTCAAATTCGAATAGTCACATAGGAACCGAATGTGAATACAAATACTGGGGTATTCGATTCAAATTCGATTCGTTTTCACCTCTACTGGTAAGTCCATCATTTTACTTGTTCTCTCTGTTTAGTTTGGCATGCGTTTTTTTTTTTGCTTTCTGAAACCTGCTACCCTTTGCTTCTTAACTTATGAGATTTGTATGAAATGTTTCATGCAGGTGAGTTCAATTGGAGTTACTGGTGCTCGTTCATCTGTTAGCTCACGAGTGCAATCTCTTCTAAAGGAAATTAAAGAGGTGTGTTATCCTCATTTTATCTTAACCTATATCATTGGAAGCAAATTCTTTGCAAATCTTACTGACCATACATGACTTATATGTCGATATAGATTTTATCTTGTATGTTCATATGCATTTTGTAGTTTGACTATTCGTCATATGAATCAAACAAGTAACATTGTTTTCATAAACCTGCAGGCATCCATGTACTTCAGTATGATCCCATATAAATCACTTTTCTAAGATCAAACTAGGGAACTAACTCAAAAGATCACTTTCCATTAGCGACTGTTTTATCCAAGAAGGCCCAGCACCTCCTACGTGACATATTAGTCGGTTTTGTGTTAGTTTTTATTAGCTTTTATTGGCAGTATAGGTAGATTTTAGTTGGATTGGAGCGGTATGCTTAGTAATACAATACGACCATGTATGGCTGATACTTAGAACTTTGCTATATTCACTAACTCTTGAACATATAAAACTTGTTTCCTGAGCAATTATTTGAAGTGAGTAAAATGGTTCTAACTATTTGCTTTAAGAAGTATTTATCTTTTTGTATGTTATGCTGGATATAGTGCTTTTAGTTTATTTGCTTTCCTATGCTGACTAGGCGACTCCTGTCTTAACTGTTATCGAAGCAGCATCCCGCTTAGTTGTCTGATTAGCTTATCTTGTACTTCACCAAGCTAACAGCTGTATCCTTGTCCACTTCATTGTCTATCTATTTTTCACATTAATTATCAATCATGGATGTATCAACTGTATGTACAAATATGGTTGCTAGGTGAAAACTTGACACTTCTGAGTTCAAGGTTTTAACCATAAATGTGTGGTTTGACTTCAGATTTGCAAGTGTATTTGACTTGTAAAATAAAGATATATGTTTTTCTTCTTTTTTCTGTAGCAAATAATATGTGCACAATGATACATTTCAACCTGGATTTCTATAGATTATTCTAGAATGATCTATTATTATTAATTATAAATCAAGAAGATTAAGCTTACTACGAACGAAGATCCTGATTTTGATTTTAGGTCCTTGTTTTGCTTGTATGTATTTTATGAGTGAATGTGTTGCCTTAGGAAATAAAAACCTCAAAATTCAACTTTAAGGTAACCAGAGGCTGATGATTCACCAACAATGTCATAGTTACTTCTATACTCCATTTTCTCTTTTCTTATCTGAATCTTCTGTCAATTTAGGACTTTATGTCCTCAGAGTGCTTGGCCCATGCTAGTGGCATGTTAGAGTTTTATCACCACAAGTTTAAGATAAGAGAAAGGCATTCCTACTAAGGTGTTTTTCTCTGCCACTATTTTTTCTCTCACCAATTGGCTCATTGTTTGTGGAGGCTAGAAAAAAGTTTTGTTTGCATTTTTATGCCAACTTTCTGACATTAGTTGATCTTGGATCACCCATACAACACATAAGAGGAAACTCCACATAAGCCACTTAATAACTGACACATGGATCATTTTAGACAACAAAGTATTGTTGATATTCTTATGGGGGTCCATGGGAAACACCGTCGGGCAAGGATCTTATTTTGTCTGGCAAAGACAGCTTATGCTAAATAAAAAGATGCTAACATGGACACCCATGTTGGATCTCAATAAAAAAGGAGAAAGTCTATGACAGGACACCATGTTTTTTCTAAGTAAGATCTTCCTCCATATCAGCTACCAAAATCTTTAATGTTTCTACACAAACATTTGAAGTCTTAATATTTCCATGTCGATGCATAATCATCTAAATCCTCTCAAAAACATACCTTTCATTAGTTTCTGCCTGTCAGTTAAAATATACTGGGAAAATGATCCAGTTCGGATCACAAAATTAGAAGCAAGTAAACAATTGCAGGACTTTTAGGTATATTTTATTTGATAACGTTCTAAAGAGAGATACTAATGAAGAGGTGGTTTTTTTTATCCCACTTAAATGATTTTGGCTGTAGATACGGAAATTATTAAAATTTCTGGTGCTGGTAATGTAGATATTTAAGATTTATGGGTGACAATGGGTCACTCTGGGAAACCCTCTTCCAAATTATTTTCATGTCTCGTAGGATACATAGAAGATGTTGATTGGCTGGTGTAAATTGATTCTGTATATTCATGATTTAGCTGATGTAGTGACTTACTAGTGCACATTGTCTTCTTAATAAGTTCATTGTTTAAGGTCAAGATGGATAAGAAACCCCTAGTGGATATGAATAATATGAGTATTAATGGGTGGGTACTTCAACCTTTGTGGTTGGATTTTGAGGAAACTGCGAGCTTGGAAAAGATTGATCTCCATATGGTTAGGCAAAGCAGAAACTTGCCTGCCTACTATTTTCATGAAAATATCCATTTTTATAGGACTATAAGAGCCTTCAGTCATGCAGTATTTACAAAATCCCAAAATTTAGAAGGAAAGGAAAGGAAAGGAAAAGAAAAGAATGAGGTCATTCTGCCTCTTCTGTGATTGGTTCAGATTACAAGTTAGGTGCTAGGTAAAAACTGAAGTCACGATTCTGAGTTCAAAGGTTTATCGCGTGCCTGGTTTGACTTCATGTCTACTAGTGTATATGGCATGTAACACAAGGATTTATGTTATTCTTTCCTTACATAGGGATTAGCCAATGCATGAGAGAAATTATATCATTGGCCTTTATACATTTCTCACTGTTGTATTTCATGTTGTGATTGGTGTTATCCAAGTAGTGTGTAAGTTCTTTTTGATTGCTATTGATTTAAGTTGACTATCTTTTGTGTTTGCCTGCTAATACACTTGTATATAAGTGAAAGAGGTAGAATATTGGACCTCCGTATTAAAGCCATTAAGATGAGGTACATGCAAGTTAAGAAGTGAATCACATATGCTAGTACCTTCTCTTTGTTAACAGAACTTGATCAAACTGCTACGTTATTTTTTCGCCTTTTAGGAAAATTGCGTATTCAGTTTTATGTAAGAGGAGACGAGGAGCCAATTATGAGACATGTCAACTTCAACCTTTGGTTCAAGCACAATTCTATTACTCATAATAGTAGTTAACCAAGCGCTATGTTAAAAGTTAAAAACTATCATTATGTCATGTTCTTAAGGAATTGCGTATGAAACTATTGTCGATCTAAAAATTAGTCGCCGTTCTAATCATTTGCAGGCAACAACAAAGCCAGTTGCTGTCGGTTTTGGCATATCAAAACCAGAACATGTGAAACAGGTAGCAGATTGTTTCTGATCACCATGATTTTAGGGATAATTGATCTGTAATCATTTTCCTTTCTAAATATTTTTAGGTAGCAGGATGGGGAGCTGATGGCGTGATTGTCGGTAGTGCCATGGTGAAAATTTTAGGAGAAGCCGAGTCCCCCGAAGAGGGATTGAAAGAGCTGGAAACTTTCACAAAGTCCTTAGTAGAGGCTCTCCCTTGAGACATTATTGCCTATTGCTTTCTTCGTTGATAGACGATAGCAGGCGTTTGATCATTTATCAGTTGAGCTCGGTCTCTGAGAGGAAATGATTGGTAATTGTATACCCCAGTATTTCTGTGATAATGGATGTGAAAGTTGCAGGAGAGAAGTGTTTGCTATTTTTGCTGAGCTTTGTGTAATTTTAAAGGTCTGTTGACTGAAAGTTGAAATGGTCACAAACTCTCACAGGATATGCAATAAAGCACAAGGGTTCCATCTTGGTTTCGTTGTCCATAAATATTTGCATCTCTCTTTAGAGCTATCATTTGTGTTAAAATAAAGCACCAAGAGCATCATTTTATGTTGAAATCATTGAGGATAGATGACAAAGGTTTCTTCATTAGATGCAGAGTAAATTGCAGGACTACACATATTTCACCTTCAATTGCCACCGATTCCTTTCACGTATTGAAGTGATAAAAAAAATCAGTGTTATTCCACAATATACACTAAGTACAAGTAAAAGGCATTCAAATGATACGGTACTCTTTTAGCATATGTTTACCAAACCAATCAAAAAATATAAAGGGATTTGTTGGGTGTCATAAGAGAGTTTGGGACGTTATCCGAATCTTCTGTCAATTTTTCTGACTGGGTATCCTAAAAATTGACTAGACTCAATTTAGTGACAGGTTGGACCATTTATCACCACAATACAAGATAAAGGGAACTTCTTGATCCCAACCTTTTCCTCTCTTTTTTTTCTTTTTTTCTCCGCCACAATTTCTATTCCTCTCTCATCGTTGGACAATTTCTCTAGGCCATTTATTGTGAAGCTCATAGAAAAAGGTTTGTTTTTGGGGTATTTTATGCCAACTTCCCCACCTCCATTGAACTCGATACCCAGTGCAATACAAACATGGCGCTGACGTGGACGCCTTGTCGGATGCTTGGCCACGTGGAAGGTTCTGACTGGTAAGTTCCATGTTATTGGACTATGGTTCAGTTGATCTGGCTCTGATTTTGGATCAAATTGGACAAGAAAATCCCAAGTGGGTGTGAGCAGAGCAAGATGTCTGGAGACTTTTCTCGTTTGGATTTTTAGCTCAAAAATATCAGCCTCGAGATAGATTTGATCTCAACATGGCCATGAGCAAATAGGATCCCGAGTGCCTACTGGACGATTGGAGCTCACTATGACTAAGCAAAATAGAATCTTGAGTGCCAGTTGGTTGATCAAAATATCTATATTTATAGGACTATAATGGAGCTCACTATGACTAGTATAACACATTATTAAAAAAAGGGAAAATGAAAGAAAAAAATAATATATAACTGTTATATGATGGAAAGTGAAAATGATCTGAGACGATTGAGATATTGATTAATTTTGAATAAAAGTAGACTATACGTTCAAATCTGTACGAATTATAAAAAATTTATTCCTTAAGAATCTTCACTGTCCGTCTATGAACTTCATTTTCTTCTATATGTGATTATACATGGGTAATAATTATAGTTTTTATTGTTGGTATGTTATGGAATGAATATACGACAACTGTTCGTTATGAATGGACAGTGAGATTCCGTTGATATGGCCAATTCCAATGGATTAATAAAAAGAAAAACCGTAAGCAGAGCGCAATTGTTAAGAATCGAACGAGTTATATGTTTAAAATCGACGTGTTGACTCTCCCTTCGACGAATGGTTGCCTCTAACGCTAACTCAAACGACACACACAAAACTTGATGGTTATCCAAACCACAGCGCAAGCTGATCATGCATGTCCTACTCAAAATGATTATAAGCCATCCGTGGGCCTAAACTCAGATTAAGACCAAAAGTTTGGTCATCAATGAATCTATGAGCGCCTCGGTCCTGAACTCCTAATCAAATATATGGATGATGACAAATGAGCATAGCATCTAACTGACATTTTGAGTTGTCAAGACTTGGAGGTTATAAAGAATATTCGAGGAAATTAAGAAACGATTTAAAGTAAGGTCCAAACTTTTGGATGTTAGGTTTTTTAGCACTAACAAGCGCGACCTAAACACACACGTGAGAACATTTACATTCTATTCCAAACTTCTAATTCTTCAATTAGAAAAATCTTAGAGCAAGACCCTTTTTTTTTCCTCCCGGTTTTGAAATCGTCTATGCTTTTTATAAGATTCTTTATTTTATGTACGTATGTCAAAATTATCGCGGCAGTATCATAAATTCCATGAAAAAAATTTGGGTCAAGGAAATTAAGCAGCCGCGCATTTATACCTAAAATTAGGATCATTATGTGAGAATAGCACTAATCAAAGCACTGTACACGTTATTGATTTAGATATTTTAGACTACCCTTTCAACGTCATAGAAATATTAATGTGTTGCCTCTTGTCTGACGTAAGTCACGTAACTACTAAGAAACTTGCGCAATGTGCTAAAAAGAAGCAATCGGGAGTTATTTAATATAGCTTTTATCTTTATCTTTATCTTAATCTTAATAGTGTGCTCGAATAGTAAAAGATATCCTAGTAGTAGCACATAGCTTCGTCTCTATTGACCGTGGAAAAAAAAACCAATCTAGTGCATACTCTTTTCTTTTACTTATCCCTCTAACTAAATTAATAAAAGGAATATAAGAGGATAGCTTACACCATGAGAGTGAAATATTTGCATTAATTAGACACTTTCGGCTAACGACGATGAGGTCATTGTGCAAATAAAAAATCTAAATTAAAAACGATGATTTGAATGAATAGGGGTAAAAAACTAATGCTAAATTATATCATACAAGTACTGAATTTCTTAATTTTGAAGCTGTTTTTATTATACAATTGCAACAGCAAGTTTGCTAAATTAACAGCAACAAACGTTGCGCATAAAAAATTGTTGTGTGCAAACCAAGCATTTGTTTATCTACAATTATAGAATGACCTATATTTACCAAGTCGGACTGCACTAATTTGATAGCTTAGTATTATTTTTTAAACTAACACGAAGCAGCAAACGCACCATTATATAATAAAAAAAACTCAAGTTCTACTAGGCGAAATTTTAATTTTATACAATTGCTCTCATAAATTGTTTTCCCCTGATATTTTTCAGTTACACCTTAAGATAAAAATAAAGGAGTTTTATCTAAAAGTTTATGTATTTATTATTATTATTATTATTTTATGAATCAGGATCCTAGATAATGAGTGGCCCACGTCTGTAAGCACCTGTTCATAATCTGAACCCCGACAAATCGCATTCCTTGGCCCATCTCTGTCAAAAAAGGGCCTCACGAGCCACCAGCAAGGATACCCCACCTACCCGCACGAGAGCCTCGAAAAGCTAACAAAAAAGAGAAACCACAACAAATACTACAACAACGAAAAAACAAGAGTTTTTTCTTTTTACATAAATATCCGCCAAATCAATCCTACTTGCAAGTTTCATTTTCAAATGTGCATATTTTGTTAATTCACCTTCCAATTTTACCACGTTGATTTTTAAATACACTCCGAAACTTATATTGAACTATTGAAGGATATTTTTCAATATGCTTCTAACTCTTTGATAGTTGTTTAATTAGCTAAGAATTTCCTCTTTTCATTGTTTAAAACCTAACATCCCGGAGTTTACGGGTATTTTAACTCATGTAGTAGAATTGGAGAGATGATAATTAAATATCTAGAATTTATCCTTTCCAGAAAGATAATATTGTTCAAAGCTGAAGTCCTAGCCAACTATCTGCGTTTCCCCAAGCAAATATTTAGAATTTATAGTTAAATTTGCAAATACAATTGATGTGTTGGGTATATATGTAAAATCCCTTTAAAAAACAAAATATCCAAAATGCTTAGGGCATTTTCGTAAACCTTCGCGCCTCCAGAAACTATATATCAACCATTTTCCCATTTCCAAGTAAGACGCACGTCATCCTCTTCCCATTGTCGTCCCCCCCGGTCTCCCTTTTTCGTCAAGAAACCTTGTCGGAGCTCCGATAAAGATAGCGAAATGGATCGAGTTTTCTCCGTAGAGGGAATATCTGACCCGTTCTGGGCGGCCTCTCCCGC